GCAGCTACCAATCCGCACTGTTCCCGCGTGGTGGATCATGTCCCAATATCTCTAGCAGAGGGGACATTAATGGACTGATGATGAAAAATGATGATGATGATACGTGAATAATATCCGTTAATAAAAGCAACGACTCTTCGCAAATATCCGACGATAGAATTCCGGTCTTGTCGCGATTAACACACGAAGCAATTCTCTCGCCTATGGAGGTGGCGCCCAAGGCTCTTTATATCCACGATTAATCTCCCTATTATATTTATAATTACTTGTTCTACATCGTTGTCTGCCACTGGCATCCAGATGATGAGTAGTACTTGTCACTCGGGGGGGACATTTCGGTGTCGTGTTTAATAATGCCAACAGTGTTTTCGGACCAATACGACCCGAAACTTTGAATAATAGAGCGTATACCTTCCTTAAAGCTGGCATCACATTTGTGATACTCCTGGTGTTGCACTTGTCTATGGGCGACGGTGATTTATCATTAGGAGAGCCATCTGCTGGTATGCCCCCTATATTATAAAAAAAAATAGGATCTATCATTCGATTTGAGTTTAGGAAAGTCGGTGTTGCGACAGTGAACATAATAGTCTATATATATCTTTCAATGCTACTTTAATCAAATAAGTATGTTCGCTCATCTGTTAAATTGGATTTTAATTGAGTTTGATACATTAATAAATTCATTCATAAAGAATGCTTTCATATTCATACATTAACAAATAAAGCTAATAAACAACTTTCTGAATGTAGAACAATTATAGTATACAGAGCGATCATATTAATTACATTTATACAATTAATTTTATCCTTCATACAAACTAAGCTTTTCACCGAAGTTCTTACTTCAAATTAAGGCTTTATTGTGTTTAACATATCATTTGTCAATTGTGTAAAGTCTTGTAGAGATAGGACGAGGCTTAAACATGATAAGCTTTTAAATTGGAAATAAAAATATTGAATATGAATACATATTTGAATAATAATATTTAGTTAATATAATTTTTCATGTATGTAATTATTATTTATTTACTATTATTTATTATATTATCAATCTAATACACTTTAATTATTTATGTAACTCATTTGATGTATACTATTATACCTATATGTATTTTTACACCATTGTATAATTTGTATTGTTGTCTCTAGCAAATTCGTACAGCGCTGGTATTCTGGCAGGGCGCCAGAATACCAGCGCTGTTATGGTGGGAATATTCCCTTCCTACTATAACAGCATTAAGTTGAGGCAGGGTCCTGATTAGCCTTTCTTCTCCCTCCATAGCATGGTTCTCTATGTATTTTTTATTTTTATCGCTATATTGTTTTTTTTACCTACGTATGTATAAGGCCAAGAGAAGCTTTTTCTTTCTTTCTTTCAAAAATATTTTGTCAAATTAGGTTTTAATTTAAATCAAATAGAAGTTATTCTCGTGTTCAGCACTATAAAAAGATAGCGGCATTCACTCAGTGACCAGGTCACTGAATTTATTATTCACCCAAATAAATAAGGAAACGCAATTATTATGGAGACAGTTGAAAGTTTCTCAATTTGAGTCATTCTATACAGGGTGTTTCTTTTAGGGTGTCAAGCCAGTGCGAACTGATAGCAGAGTACCACACATATCAATTTAACCCCCCATGTATTTTCTACGATTTTTCGTAATTTGCGAGTGAGATTTTTTTTGTAATTTTTAACGATTCAACGATGAGACAATTTGGAAAAAAGTATAACTTTTTTTTGGGTCGACTTTTCTTCGATATTTTTTTTAACAGAAAGCCTATTATTTTTAATTTTACTAGTTAAATAATCTCCTTCCTTACTTTAACCTAAGATATAAAAATTTTGATCGATACTAAATAAAAATGTATCATGTAAAACAGAATTGATTTTCAATCATAACTTCCGACTGATTTTAAAAACTGCCCGACTTCATAAGCTTTCATAAAAATACAAAAAAAGATAAACTAAATTGGGCATTATTTGCTGAAATCTGTTGTTGAAGGTGTTGTATCGAAAATCTTGTAGTTTTAATATTTCATAATTTCGTAGTATCTTTGAATATTTTGTCAAACATAAGTTTTATTATTCTTTTTAGTTTAAGTGGAACTCATTAGAAAAAAAAACATTTTATTACAAATAATCACTCAAAACTCCTGTTATCCTCTTCCTCAGGATATTTAATTTTACGATAACATAAGATAAATAAGGAAGCGAGTGAGGACTCTCGATTGAGCTTCATATTAAGATTGTTTGCGAGTGATATTATGCCTCGAGATTACGAATTTTCATTGCAAGATTAAGCGCAAATGCATTATTTCTACGGGTACGCGCGTGGAAAAAAGCCTCACTGGCCACAAGGATGTTTCGCGAATATTTACAACGCAGAGGAGAACGACAGCCCGAGATTTATCCAGATCAGCGAGCAATTTTGCGAGTACATCAATTGTACGAAGAAGGCCGTAACCCTGCGAATCCAAAGAGATCAAGCTCAATCGAGAGTCCTCGACACACGAGTAGACACTTCCGTATTTAAGCGTAAAATAAAAATACCTGAGGAGAAGGATAACAAGAGTTTTGAGTGATTAGTTGTCATAAAATGATTATTTTTATTTTCTAATGAGCTCCACTTAAACAAAAAGAATAATAAAACTTAAGATTGACAAAATATGGAAAGATACTACGAAATAATAAAATATTAAAACTACACGAATTCCGACCTTCAACGACAGATTTCAGCAAATAATGCAAAATTTAGTTTATCTTTTTTTGTATTTTTATAAAAGTTTACGAAGTCGGGCAATTTTTAAAATTTATCAGAAGTTGTGGAATATCTATTTTTATTTTTCTTATTTTTAAATCCATTCTGTTTTACATAATCCATTTTTATTTAGTATCAATAAAAAAAAATATCTTAGGTTAAAGTAAAGAAGGAGATAATTTTACTTATAAATCTACAAACAAAAGGTATTCTATTTAAAAAAAATCGAAGAAAAGTCGACCCAAAAAAAGTTATACTTTTTCCAAGTTGTCTCATCGTCGAATCATAAAAAATGGCAAAAAAATCTAACTCGCACACTACGAAAAATCGTAGAATATACATAAAAATGGGGCTAAATTGATAGGTATGGTACTAAGGAGCTCTAGCCAGAGTGGATAGAACTCAGGGACGTAACTACTAATTAAAAGATACTGGTAGAGATAAGTTATTTTATATTTGATTCAGGCGAATATAATTATTTTTATCTAACTACGAGAGGTTTGCTTGATGCCTGAAGATCTTCTCTTGAATGGAACCTTCTATCAAAAGACAGACGATTCCTTATTTCAAATCTTAAAATCATGACATTAACTTTTTAATATAACTGCCAACCGTAGGCATCGCAAAAGCAAAGAGTTTACCTAAACAAGGAGGCTGCAACGTCACGGACGTTACAGTACTCTGCTTTCAGCTCGCACTGGCTTGACACCCTAAAAGAAACACCCTGTATAATATGCCACTACTATAAGAATAACAATAATAATAAAATAAATAAGCCGTATAAAAAAATGACATGTATTTTTTTCTGTTATATCATATAATATGATTATACGAAACTATTTCTGTGTGTGCATGACGCCGGTTTTTCTTTCAATGTTAAATCCACCATTGAATCGTTCCAAATGTAGGCATATCAAAATGTAGCATTTGGTTTCCTTTTCAAATAGACTCCATTGTATGTGTTGAAATGTACCCGAGTATTGTGGGAATGTTTATTTAATAAATTTTCAAAGGATTTGTAAGCTTATTCAGTATGCAACAAGCCAATTATTATTTTCGTACCAAAACTTTGAATTGTACAAACTAAACCAGTGTTGTCGAACTGTCGATAGTTGACCTTGAAAATCCTATCGATAATGTTGATTTTACAATAAATTACTCTTCGTTGGTTTCCCTTTGAGTTTGTCTGCACGATTCTAATAATGAATAATTAATTAATTAATTATTTAATTTATAATTGTAGAACTAAAGACAATAAAAAGAGAGAAAGAAAGTCTTAATATTCACTTTCATAGTTTGAATTGCACCAATAATTTTGCATTTTAAGATTAATCTATAGTATCTATGATTACCGAGATGCTATCAAGCATAACCAACACTTATATTAACGAAGTTTAAGCATTCTAAATAAGTTGTGCGGAACGAATTGATAAAGTTAGTTAGCCACCATGCCACCGGCACGGTTGAGGGGGAAGAGATTTAGTAGCTCCCACACTTTCAACGGATTATAATTTTTAATTTATCCATTAATGAACCCTTATAAGTCGAATCTTCGCATTATAATTCGAATAACTGAAAATACCTAATTTTCAGTTATTCGAATTATAATGCGAATTGTTGTCATATTCCACGCAGAAAATTTGGGGGTATCCAATACTATTGTCAATCATATTGATTTAATTGACACCACTTTAAAAGACATCAATTCATGCTATGGCCACATTGTCGCGCTATTACTATTTTTTTCCGTTTTTCGGCATGTCGGGCCAAGCAATAGTCACCTTTAAGAACACGGTCAGAAACGTGACTATTGCTTGTTTAGATGCAGCGTGAAAATGGTAAATGTTCGCGATAGTGCAATAGTATGACCACATCATCTAGTGTGATATTATACAATACAATACAATACACAATTCTTTATTGAAAACACCACAGTACAGTACATAAATGGGGTAAATACATTATGCTTAAACATAGTGATTCAATGGGCGGTCTTATCGCTAAAAGCGATTTCTTCCAGACAACCTTTGGATGGAGAGGATTGAAAGAAACTATATATACTATATTATATCGAGTATCATTGTATATTGCTGTCACAAGTGGCTTAAAGCCGATTTTATATCTACGCTACTGCAGCTTTAAGCCGGTGAAAGTACCGTCGCTACACACCCACCTTAAATTTTAATTTCTTAAAAATTTATATAAAAATATTTATTCCTAATTTTCTTCTCCCTACAGTTCTTGGTCTGCTATCCCTACCCACCGGAATGGGGGGAGAACTACCCGCGCAATATGGTACTGATGCGGTTCCTGGTATACTACTCCCTGCCGCTGGCAGTCATAGCTTTGTTCTACATACTGATGGCCAGACATCTGGTGCTGAGCACGCAGAACGTGCCTGGGGAGATGCAGGGCACTCAAAGACAGGTAACTATGAGTATAGACTTTAGATACGTGAAAAATACTATCTATATAGTGCTGATGCGATTTCTGTACCCTTAGCATGAACCTATATCGAATTCCAATAATTGAATTCGATCTCGATACGCTTCAAATGTCAAGGAGTTTGGTATGGAAATTTGAACAGCGTCTCAATGGACGGAACAGAATTAGGCACTCAAAGATGGAACATATGAGTTACATAGCTTCTCGCCAAATCCTTCCTGGGGTTATCATTTGGCAGTGCATATAAAAATTTTATCTATGAAATAACACTGCCTTTTGTTAACATTTTATTTCAAAATTACTATTTGTGAATAAGGTTGCAGACAGTGACGTATGTCTAGAATATAATTAATAATAATAATAATATTTCCAACACTCACACCAATAGCCTAGCCCTAAAGTAAGCACTGTAAAGCTTGTGTTATGGGATACTAGGATAACGGATAGAATACATATACAATACATATATAAGTATATTATTATAGAAATACATATTAAACATCCATGACTGGAGTACAAATGCTCGTATTCATCACACAAACATCTGCCCCCACCGGGATTCGAACCCTGGACCTCTCAGGTCGGCGACACCATGAAACCCGGCGTACAAAACACTCGGCCACGGAGGTCGTCAAAATATACACTGGTCCGAGAGCTCCGAGAGTAGATGATTGGGCTAAGGCTGGCAAGGTGAGGAAGGCTAGTTATCTATACAGATCTCTATAGACAGATAACCTATACAGGTAATACAAGCAAATCATAAACATTTATTCAGCTTTTATTGTTAGTTCCGTTAGTCTAACACTTTAGAAGTTTCAATTGCATCGTGGTTTCATATAACCATCCACCCATCCATCCATTTTTGTTTTTAACTGGTTAGATGCAATACAAATACGTTATGCTGTGTAAACTGTAACTGTCTACCTATAGTAAAAACCAAATGTATGTTCCATATCTCCACATTCCGCCTTTATAAGTTTATCCATCCGTGCCTGTTCAGCAAACAATATGTCTTTAGAAGTAATTTTCCTTACTTACAAAGAGAAAAGATATGTTTAAAATTGCTCCATTGTTGTAGCTATTTTTTGAAGCGATATTTGCTATGAAATGAGTTTTCATGTTTTGTCTATAATAATAAATATTCACTGAAAATTGTGCCTTAAATTAGGTACACAATGGAAGTCATAAATTTGTTTTTTTTTAATAAGGTTCTGTTATTAAGCAGTGACAAAGGGCAATGGAAAGTTTTGCTTAATTAGGGACTGAAAATTATTGTGAGTTGTCCGAATTAATTTTTACTTATTACTACGCAAATTTTATTGTGCGAACAAAAATTTTATAAAAAAACCTGACTTTAGTAGCTTCTTATCCGTTTTTTTTTCAACTTATAACAATACATAAATAATATTTGTTTATTAGGTTTTCACGCACAACACTCCTTAAATAAAATTAGTTTTAACGGATTAATACACGAACTTTATTTATTTATTGACGTTTCGCAGCTTTTTTAGGCCTGCATAGTCAAAATAAACAATAATATAATAAACATAATTAATTATTCTGACGATGCAGACCTGAAAAGTTTGCGAAACGTCAATATATAAATAAAGTTCGTGCATAAATCCGTTAAAACTAGTTTTATTTAATACATAAGTAATTTTATATCTACTCAATAAGCTATAAGTAAACAAGGACACCGGTCGATAGGGTATAATTCTGGCTTTGGGTCAACAAAATGTTTATATCAATTATGTTATATGAACCTTGATGTTTCCACGGGTTGCATATTCCACATAAAAAAAAGAGTTTTAAACATAATTTTGTTTCAGGAAACCACGATGCAAGTGAAATATTGAAATCTTTAGTAAAAAATCTTTCCTCTGCTGGGATATGAACACGGGCGCATCGCATAGTAGGCGAGCTTTTTACCACTGACCCACAGATTTTTGTTAATAAGGTCTAAATTTTTAATTACAATCAAAAATTAACGACAAAATTTGTGGCGATGTAATAAAAGTTTCACTTTAAAAAACCAAACAAGAATTAGCTTACCTTTAACTAAAGGTCGGTTAGTCAAACGGACAATGAACCATCAATTAACATCCGACTACCAAAATTTAATGAAATTTTGTATTGGACGTTATTTATCAATCTCATTAGTTAGTAGCATCAAGTGTTATCTCATTTAGACAGTATAATTGCAAAACAAATATTCCGAGATTTGTATCAAACAAGTAGATAACGTAGTGAGAGATCCTACAGAAACCCGAGGGGATCTCACACCTTACAAAGGATTAGGGAACCACTGAGCAAACTTTAATTAAAGTGAATGAGGCAAATCAATTCATCGGTTCAGTTGTAACCAATTTGATCGTGCTGAGGGTCTAATTAAGGGAAAATGTTTTATATCTTTACCATTCTTAGTTGCCCACAAAATGCTGAATGCCCATTCAGAGCCGGGAGAGAAATTCATTTCAGGTGTAGGAGTGAATAAATATAAATAAATATTTCCAACCCTGACACCAATTAGCCTAGCCCCTAAGTAACTACTGTACGCTTGTGTTATGGGATACTAAAATAGGTGAACGGATAGAAGACATACACACATCAAATTTGAGATCACTCGTAAAAGTTGTTATACGAGTATTTTCAAAATTTAACTTAATCAAGAGATAAATTTTACGTTATATCTTTTTTTTATTTAAAAATACACTTTCTGAAATGAAGGAATAAAACTATTTTTATTTTTTAGTATAATAAATTTAATAATTCAATCCTAAGGCGATTGTATTAGAACTTTGATAGAAATAAAAAGACAGTTAAACCAAACATAAAAACCTTTTATTAATAAATTGTTGTTTATCTAATAAGAAATAACTCCTCCTCTGGCTCGAAAACATGCAGAGATCCTCCTGGGCATGCTGAGGATCAAGGTATCCAGCATTTCTTGTGGTAACCTGTCCCATTCTTGAACAGCAGCTTCCTTGAGCTGCGGCACTGACTGGGTTGGTGGCTGCTGGTTCCAAACAGCTCGCTTAAGAGCACGCGTGCTCTATTGGGTTTAAGTCAGAAGAGCTGGCAGACCAGTCTTACCTTGTTACGTCCTTTGTGGCGCTGCTGTTCAAGTTTCCATACAAAATTTGACAATGACATTTCGGACTCGCAAACTATTCGAATTCGATATTGGTTCGTGCTAGGGGTACTGAATGCGTCATTAATGTCAATGGTTTATTGCAGATGCGAGCGCGAAGAAAGGTGGCTGTCACAGTACTGGCGTTTGTGCTGGTATTCGCAGCATGCTTTCTGCCCTCACATGTGTTCATGATGTGGTTTTACTATTGGTAAGTGCACAATTACGTAAGTATAAGACGCGGCACGAAACTCTAGCGCTAACCGTTATTGCGCAGAAGTAAAAATTAAGATGTCTTGGGGGGAAACGAGGTGAGGGTGGGCGTGCGTTGCTCCGATTGGCTCTCCAGTTGTACCCATGCGCAGCTATCCTCACCGCATTTTGTTCAGCGCTAGTGTCGCGTCCTGTAATTGAGGGACAGTGTTACAAGGTACACAGTGTTACAAAAATAATATCTCTGCATTATAACCGACCATTTGATGCCTGAAGACAGCTGCTTAAAATGGGGGCATATGAAACTAACGAAACACGTCAAGACAGACCGTAGACAAATAAAAAAGGGCAGATTAGAATAATATTAATATTCTTTATTCTCATACACCTCACAGGACATACAAGACATTAAACATGACAGTGAAAATGCACAATAGGCGGCCTTATTGCTAAACAGCAATTTCTTCCAGGCAACCCATGACAGTGAAACAAATAAATAAATATTCGTTGCGTACGCTGTGCCCCTTGTTATACTGTCCGCCACTTGACTCTACACATTGAAGTATTTTAATAGCCATCCGATTTCCTTAAAAATATTGCTAAGACCCTCTTACCATAATATGTTCTTCAACTCAATACGCGTTTATAAGATTTTTTAAATAAATTTCGAGTGTGTAAGTGTCGAAATTAAAGAAGCTAGTGTATGTACGTTTTTGCCCCAAAGTAAGCACTTGTGCTCGTTTGTGCACTGGCTTGTGCTATGGGATACTACGGTAACGAATAGACTACATATACCGATACATAATATATAATAATATTGTCTTTACATTTTAATATCTAGTAGTTAAATACTCAAAAAATAAAAATATTACCTTTTATATTTTATCTATTAATATATGTATTTATATATAAACAATGTGTTACGAAATAAAAATTGTAGGTATGTATCTCCCGAAAACTTAAATGTTACAACCATGAAATATAAAAAACGTAGATGAGGAGTTAACAGATGTGTCATATCATAAAAAAAGCTAAATTAAGATAAACATCTGCTTTTTATATTATCTTTAATAAACAATTCTATTATATTTATTTAACAAATTTGACAGTTCTAGGCGAAATGTCTTGGATATAACGTCAAATTGGTAGGTCCGTAAGTTCTTAACTTCCCATTTCATGACGACAGGAATTGCACTCTTAAGCCTTTATATTTATTTATTATTAATGGATTAGACCATACAAAAATATTACAATCATTCTATGACGATATTAATACAAAGGTTAATCCGGTTTATACTTTCTCATGATGCATATTGAAGCTTCACAATAACAACATACTACACATATATAATACAATATCCATCTTAAGAGGATTTTAGAAACATCTTAATTTAAAAAGCTGCATGAGTAAAAAGTATACATGTAATAATTTTCTTATAACAACATAATTTGAAATCGAACTACTTTACTGGAATTGACATGCACGACTTGCACACTTAAATTAATAAGTGGTAGCTTATGTACAATGACTTCACGAACAAGAAAGGTACTAATTCAACAACAACAACTTGAGCTCCTGTTAATGATAATTGGATAGCAACCAAATGTACCTCACGATTGTAAAAAATATTTATGATGCAAATAAATTATTATTAATTCAAATTATCAAAATACAGTTATTACTCAATCAATCAAAAAACATTTATTCAATCTAGACTGTTACAAGCGCATGTGAAAGTCGAGCAGCTGCCCCATCGGTTCGCAAAACTACAGCGGGATACCTTGTACTGAGCAGAACCCGCAAGAAACTCAGCAAGGGCTGTTTTTGTTCTCCCTGTATTATTATATACAGAGACGTCAAGTTGAAAAATGACTTCAGAGATAATTCTGAAGTCACCTTTTATTCCGTAATTTAGAATATAGCTATATATATAGTACAATAAGTTTTATAGTGAGCTTTACATTTTTAGTAGTTATATATCCTATAAGAATAATCTGGTATCTGAATCAGCTTTGTATTTGGTCAGAGGAAGCTCAATCAGATCTTGGGGAACTTTGTTAAATAGTGCAATACTACAACCCAGAAATGAACCCTCTTGATTTTTGGAGTCTAAAACATGGAACGTTAAGCTTCTTTTAACGGGTTTGACTTTCGAACCGATTTCGAAAATTCATTCACTATAAGGTAGCTACAGTATTTATTGTATTTTCAAGTATTAATTTGAATATTGTTGATTAATCTGCTCGATTTATAAAACTAAAGAAAATTTTTACTTGGAAAAAATCCACTCTGATAGCTTTTCCGATGGGAATTGTTTCTTGTAAAATTTTACTTATTAACTGCATTATATCCGAGTGTGATGAGCTATATTTTATCCTGTTAAAATAAATGCGGCGGCTCACTAGTATAATATAATATTATGGATGCGAAAGTGAGTTTGTTTGTTACGCTTTCGGACCCTAATTGCTAATTCGCTTATTATGAATTTTCCTATAGAAATAGATGGGACATTGGTTGTAAGCTATATTATCGAAATACTTATATTTCAAAATTATAAGTATTTCGATAATGTAGCTTATAACCCTACTCCTAAAAGTACTGTTTCAAGATCAATACCTACTACAGTCCTATGAAACGCCTTAAAGTTGCTCTGTTGCTTCTTAAGCATGCCCTCAAATACACTTGACGTTGCAGTTGATGTATTTTCAACTGCTCTGCTACTGCTAGGCTGTGTGAAGCCCTGGCTGGGATTCTTCAAAAATGTTGATGGCTTGATAACAGGTGACGAAGGTCTTCTCCTCAGCCGTCACTTGACAACTTTGGATATGAGCTCTGATGTTACCGTACCTTTCTCGCACTCTCTCCAAATCACTTTTAACATGGTCTCTCATCGATGGCTCCAACTCAAAAGCTGATAATTTGGAATGATTGGATTCATACTCAAGCCAGTAACTATCGAGTATATCCAATCTTTTCTTGATGCAGTCCGCGGTGTTTCCTGCTAGCTCCGTCTTTTTTGAAAATAGTATACATATTTTCAATCGCCGCCGCTAGATGCTGAAGATTTGCGGAGATGTCGCTGACGGATGACATTGCTATTAATGTATAAATGGACTGATCTTACTTGATATACTGATGCTGTGTGGCTAAAGACCCATGGAAGATGAGTCGTATCCTTTGCTGTAGCTGATGATGTTGAAAATCCGAAAACTTGTTCACTGAACTCCACTTGGTAATCCTGATTCACTGATTATGGTCTACATATTTGGTATTATGCTGAATGAACTGTAACTGCACTGATTCAATAGTTCGGTAACGGAACCGAAGACACGTATGCGACAAAATTCACTCTCACGCGACACGTGTGTACTGTACCCCTAGCACGAACCATTATCGAATGCGAATAATATAGTTTTCAAACAGAAATGTCAGTGTCAAATTTTGTATGGGAACTTGAACAGCAGCGGCACAAAGTACGTAGCGATAACTAAAAATCAGTACACATTTGACAATGACATTTTGGACTCGCAAACGATACGAATTCGATATTGGTTCGTGCTAGGGGTACTGATCCCGCTTTTTCGAAAAGGCTCGAAGGACCAATGTACAGGGAGCCAGTAACATAATAATTGATAAAACTGTAAATAATTTTGGAACTAAAGTATATTTGAAAATTGTAAACTAATTGAACTAATGGACACGCGTGGTATGCTTGATTACGGAATACGAACAGAACAATGTAAAATAAATTATGAATTATACGTAAATTAGGTCAATACAGAAATGCTGCGTCGGCAATGTACGCGCTTGCTCGTACAGCGCCTAATTGTCCCCATATTGAATTTCGATTACTATCATATCTTTAGTAGCACTCCCATGATTAAAACGAATCAATTGACGTATGAATCATCAAAATTGGTCCACGCGTATGGTCTCTAGTGTGCCACAAAGGAACATAAATATATATATATATATAGACTGTTAAACACTATACCCTGTCTGCGTAGAGCTTCGCGCTCTTGCATTGCGCAGTCGGGTAAAAACACAATGCTACGCGGTGTTAGAGCGTAGCGCAAAGTTAAAAAATTACTTTTAAAGAATTAATTTTCGCATAATGTGTATACATAAAAAAGAATACATTCCGAGCAAATGCATTCGCCCGGATTGCGAAGGGTGCGGGTTCGAGTCTTGTCTGCTGCCTGGTCCGCGTGGATTTTTTTTCTATTTATATTTTCTTTAGATTTAAACATCAAGCAGTTTCATGCTTTAAAAAAATGCATTTAAAATTTATTTATTTAGATTTTTTAAAAGTATTTCGAAAAAGTTGTTTGTTTACTCCAAACTCCCGTACTATATCACGAACACAGAAAAGTCTTTTCTCTTTCAGAGATAACACTTTCTGTGTTCTTCTGTGAGTAGAAGTATTTTATACTCTTTAATACCGTTTGTCTTTATACGGTTTAGAAACAGTTTCAAATTGGGAGACCTTCTAAGGAGAACTGGCAAAACAAACTCAGAAAAGATTCTGTGGAAACATAAGAGGAATGTTGAATTAGGTATCTTATCTTTGCATAAAAAATATTTGCTTTAACCTTGCTCTCGCCCCTTGTCTGTTAGCTATGGCCGCCCCTGGTGTATTTGTTATATCTCTGTCTGTGAGACATACGAGGCTGCGGTATTTCGAGTGCTCGCATTTTTTAAAGAAGTTATAGCGGTACCTTTGCTTCATCCTTTCTGTCACTTTATGAAAACATAAGGTGAGAAAAGTGGCTAACAAAAGAATGAATTCATTCCCGCAGTTTCTACAAACAATAGTGTTATTTAAAACCGTCATCAAACTACCGGATAAAATATGAATCAAATTGCTATAGACTTTTTTATATTGAACACATGTATTTTTGATGTTATTTATCAAATTGGCATGGCATTCATAAATATATAGCATTTTAATTCGAAAAAGGAAATTTCTTGAAATTTTACTTGATTTGTGTAGCTTGTTCAATTAAGTATCATATTTATATTTTCTTTTGTTTTTTTCTCTGCCTGGTCCGCGTGAATTTTTCTCTAGTAAAATTTTCTTTAAATCTCATACTGTTTAGTATCACTGAGAAAAAAATAAAAACCCTGTCTGCATAACGCTACTATCTATCTATATTATCATAAACCGCTTTTATCCCAGATGAGAGGTTTATTATTTTGTGATAAATTACATGCAGGGTTTAAAGAGTAAACTACGCATTTAATACAAAACGTCGTACAAATGACGTCTAAAATATCGAATTAGGATGAATTATAATTATATTTGATCATATAAACCTTAAAATGCCTGCGATCTATTATTTGATCAGGGGCGGTTTCATGTGTGCTAGATGTTTAATTAACTTATTTTACGAGTTTATTTCCAAAATATAAGCAAAGCAAATACAGTTTTTTTTTCCTCTTAAGTATAATTTACACTTTTGTAAATCCGATCCGTGGTTACCGTTTAGGATGTGAACATCATGAAAAATCTTTTTTTTAGCTTTTGTAACAACAAAACCCAAAAATACAACAGCCCCCATGATAACGTCCATAGACATATCACGTTATATATATTTTTTCACAAAGGCCCCATGTTGATGAAAGCGTCTTTGAAGTAGGGTAGGAAAATGGAAAATTGTTTAATATGACAGTACGTTTTCGATTTCACAATTAAGCATTAATGATCCATACCTACGAGGAGTTTTTATTACATTTGTAATTAAAATTTTCTCTGAATTATATTCTGCTGACTCATTAAATACGCTCACACGAAAGTATTATTCATTTAATATAGACTGCTACCATATCAGTTTTTTTAAGTGTGTATGCTGTTGGTCGCAGACGACCTTTACAGCGTCACCGGATTTGGGGACGGCGAGATCCTAAGGGGATCTCATGCCGAGAATTGGCGAGTGCTTCTAAAAGTATTCCATGGATGGCATCTTCCCACGGGGGGAGTCTCCTTTCCGTCTGGAGCCTCTAGACCACTCGAACCTGAGGAGGTCGGCTCAACTAGGGGGCCTCTCTGAGACTCGGACCTCTAGTTAGCCGTTGTCGTGGGGGGCGGGGAAAAACGCCCAGGTACGTACCTGTCCCTGGTATAGCGTGTCGTGTGTAGACCGGATCTGCGCACTCTTATTCTACGGGTGTGGTGTCTGCCGAATGCTAAGCTAGTGTGCAAGTTTGCTAGCTGTGTAGTGTTGGTGTTTGTGGCCTGTATGAGAGGAATCGGAGGCGCGTTAGCACGGGTGATTTCGTCGTCAGGGTACTCTAAGACGTGCCTAGGCCGACGGAAGCGGAGTGATCTACGATTGGAGGACGGGATAGCGGACGTACGATAACTAATGGCTTTAACTACTAAGGGGTTCGGGTGATGAGCGGTTTTATCGAAGAAACGTCTCGAGGCGTCCTTCATATACTTCGCGATGGCGAGCGAGCGAGTCTAACTTGAGATCGTGATGCAAATCGATGTTGCGCACGTACCACGGGCAACCCCTGGCACCGCGCAACACACGATTTTGTAGCGTTTGTAGTGGTTTACGACGCGATGGAGCTACGTGGGCAAAGCAAATACTCGCGAAGGTCATGATAGGGCGGATGCAAGTTTTCTATGTTGTCAACTTATGCCTAAGTGACATTTTACTACGCTTCCCTATGAGTTGGAATAGCCTGCCGAGAATAAATGCTGCGCGATTACGAACTATCTTGAGATGAGGTGCAAACGTCAATCGGTTATTTAACGTGACTCCCAAATACTTGACCCGGTCCTCCCAGGGGATGACCCGGTCAAATAGTTGGATGCTCGGACCTTATCAGTAATAATGTGTTGATGTATAGTTATTTATGACATTAGTGCGGTAATTTGGTTGGATAAGTGCGGTTTCCAAATAGCGCCACGTGCGGGTGGTGAAAATTGGAACAAGATCTTTCGTCTCTTTTTCCTTTTAGTATTAAAGTGAGACATAGGTATAGACATAAAAGCGGTTCCGAGGAGGTTCGATCGAAATTTAAAAAAAAACGTACTGAATACGCACGGTGCCAATGGTACCATGTATGGGAGCGTGCGTAATGAATTTTATAATACATTTGCTCGCAAAGTATCTCTTATTGCACCAATTTCAATGTCATAATCTATCACATTACACACGCGTGCGGTAATGTAAAGTAAAACGCACGACTTATTATGTTCCGTCAAAAAACCAACGATACTTTTTTTTAAATCTTAGCAAAGAGTTTTTAGGTCAGAAAGGTAGCCAACATTTTCTTAATAAAATTAGCTTTGGGAGATAAAATATAATATATAAACATTTAGTTCTTTAATTTGATCCATTTTGATAATAAATTACAACCATGTATCGGTAACAAATTCACAAAAATAATAATTCACTTTATTAGTAACATTGGCTGTTTTTTTGTGCCTTTAACTAAAAAAAGCGTTGATAGCGCGCGCATTCGTAATCTGTGAAAAGTTATTTATTTTTCTTTTCGCTGTATTATTTTTATTTGGAAATATTGTCAAGTAGTAAGGAATTTATTAATTTGACACCGCCAGAAGTCGAAAAAGGCTACGCTAAGCCTCTTGCCAATTGCAGATACTTACAGTCAAGCATATAAAAATTTCATCTTAAAGAAAACAAAAAAAGGTGCAAATTCATTTTCAGAAAGTACGTACGTAGTTAGTATTATTTCCTCGCAAAAGTGTAATAAAACGTCGTGTGACATACGTGCGGTTTGATAATTACAGCCTCTGCCTTCTTATAGCCCTTACCTACGACTCGGGATAACAATATCGCCTCGGCTGTAATTCTCAACTTACCGCACTTATATCATAATGTACTATTACCGCGCGCTGTATCGCCCGTAATTTTGAATTTTCGAACAAGGTATGAAACGTCAATAAATAAATAAAGTTTCGTGCATTAACCCGTAAAAACTAGTTTTATTTAAGGTATGAAACTTTGTAAATGCATTTTTTTAGCAAATGTGTTGAAAAATATATTACAAATTAACTAAATAACGCGCCAGACTATTTCACGCTGGGATATTAATTATGATGGTTGTTCAGTAACAATGAATTTTGTTATTCGAAGTTTTAAAGTATTTTAAGATAGTGGTGTTCGTACGTGCGTGATGAGTTATGGCCTTTACCCCCTATTCCATGTATGTATAAGGAAGAAAGGCCTGTGCCCTAGCAGTGAGGAAATTATAAGGCTGATAATGATTATGATAAACCTATAATCATCAGCTGAAGAAGACAATGGCTGGTGGAACTCCTGGTGGATCGGCGACATGCTAAGGTGTTGGTCTCGGGTGCACCTGCAGTAGTTTGCTCCCACCAATCTGATCAGCTGCCCTATTCGCTAAGTCTTTTGATATTTACAGTGTGTCACTAAAGAGTAAGTTGCATATCCATCGAGTTTTTTTTTTGAAAAAGTATCTTAGTAGCGTTGTAATAAAACAGTAATGGATCAGTGAATAGCTTCGTGATCATCACTTCCATCTGTTAAAAACCGTCAGCGAATAGGCCTACCGATCCAACCAAGCTGATCAGTTATCCTTTTTTTGTTGTTTCACCCGTATTCCATATAAAAGGCAAATGCCAAATGTGGAATCATTTAAGGCTGATGACAATAATGATCAAGAAGCTTATCGACAACTTCTGGAGCAAGAGTGGTATATACGCTGGGTTTCAAGGTGTCGCGTACTCAGGTGTCCCGGTGGGGAAAATGTTTGTATGGAGAATGCGAGCTTTGGTACCTAAGGCGTGGATGCTTATATATATTTCTTAAAAAATATACTTACATATTTCTTACATATAAAATTCTCGTGTCACAATGTTAGTTACCAAACTCCTCCGAAACGGCTTGACCGATTTTTACGAAATTTTATATGCATATTCAGTAGGTCTGAGAATCGGCTACTATCTATTTTTCGTACTCCTAAGTGTTAAGGGTTGTCAAAATACCCCTAACATTATTTTTTTATTTTTTGGGACATTTTTTTTAATTGTTTGGCATTTAAAAATACATAGGTCCACCCTAAATTTTCACCCTTCTATCATCAAACCCTATTTTTATGGCGGTACGAAGTTCGCTAGGACAGCTAGTATTATGTATCAGTGTATTATATGTATTCTATCCGTTACCCTAGAGGTGCATAACACAAGTCTAAGGCGTCGTCCTAATTGGCCACGATCGTACGATGACACGATGCGATCTCAACGTGCAATGAAAATAATCGTACGATGATCCAACAGATCGCATAAGGACCATCATGGACAGCTTCACACGTAGGCGTCGAGCCGCCAATAACCCACCAGCACCATTTTAAGAATGGCTCTTTATGAGAGATGCATGATTTTGCTGTCGGGTAATATTGCTTTGACAATTGCAAATGACATTGCGTGAAACCTTCTTCATCATTTAACAAATATTAGCCCACACCCAGCTCCTCTCGTGTCCCACGGGTTGCTGTGCTCGTGTTATGATGCGCGACCAACTAAGATACTCAAAATAGATCGGTGTATTTTATTACACGTTCGTACGATTAAACCCGTCGTACGATCGTTATTAAACAATGTCTGCCTGTGTTCGTGCGACGGCTTACAAACTGCAATTAGGACACTTATGAAGAAATCCATATGTTTAAAAATCATCGCATCGTGTCATAGTACGGCCGTGGCCAATTAGAACGATGCCTTACAGTGCTTACTTTGGGGCTAGGCTAAATTGGTGTGAGAGTTATAAATATTTTTTTTCTAATATAATCATGTTCTTCAGCCCGTCAGCAGAGGAAGACTACAATGGCTGGTGGCACTCTTTGAGGATCGTCGGGTTTTGCCTCTCCTTCCTCAACAGCTGCGTCAACCCCATAGCTCTCTACTGCACTAGCGGAATCTTCAGAAAGCATTTCAACAGGTAAGCCCAGTAAAACTAGACCAGTACCCTTAGTACGAGTTTGAGCTCACGAATAGTTTTCGTAATTGTAAATTATGTTTCTATGTCCATTTTGGTGAAAAGTAACCAAATAAACTTAAAATTTAAGAAGACGCAAATGATTTAATCATATAATTTAAACACTGTTTATTTGTATTGAAACGAAAACAATAAAATCAGTACCCTTAGTACGAGTGCGACCTCACGAAAACTATATCATTGTTTTCGTAATTGTAAAACTCGAACTAAGGGTACTGGAATGGTAGTATAAGTATAGATTGCGCCTTCTGCTTTTATTCTAGTGCAATAAACTTGTGATATAATTGGAGCGCCTGTCTAAGCAAACTCCACCTTACAGAAGAGCACAGTAAAATAATATTACCTTTTGGTGGTGTTGTATTTCTGCTAGTGAGTAAGGTTCCAGGGCTCCGCGAGGTTGGGGATTTTGTGCAGGCCAGCAAGGTGAGAATGGCTGTTGCAGCAAATTTTCTGCCGCTTCATCTATCTTCGCGACTGGGCTCCAAATACACTTAACATCAGGTGCGGTGGGGTAATTTGTTGCGCTCCTTATAAAAAAGCGTATTTCAAAACTGTAGTAGAGGAGGTAGGCTAAATATCGTAACACAATTTGTTACTCTCAAGCTGCATCTTCGAGACTCTGCCAACGTGAACAACCAAATACCAAACCAAAAAAAATCAAAAAACCCGACTGCTTAATTATACTTCAAATAAAAACTGAAAAGAAAAAAACAAGTCCAGTAGTCTATAATTCTGTTAATAAGGAACAAAGCTACTTTAACAGTCGGGACCCATTAGATATTCAAGAATACATAATATTTTTCAAAAATGGGTCCCGACTGTTAAAGTAGCTTTGTTCCTTATTAACAGAATTATAGACTACTGGACTTGTTTTTTTCTTTTCAGTTTTTATTTGAAGTATAATTAAGCAGTCGGGTTTTTTGATTTTTTAAATTTACCTTTTTTTATTTCACACTTTTTAGTTAGTTAGTATTTTCAGACGGTATATACCGTAGTCTTGTTACTTCAGTAAGGGAATTAATATCGCGGGAATTATTAAGTACCTTGCGGTCGTCTAAAAGATTGATTTATTTAGACATATAGAGACTTTACCAGCGGGGTCAAGGCTACAGATTGGCCTCAATTTTCGCAAAAATGTGTAAAGTTAAATCAAGTCGTTACATAAATATCTAATGTATGTAAATTTTATAGTAAACTAGCACTTATTCAAAAACTCATGTCTTGTTTATGTTCTTTTTAGTAGTTTAGCAGTAAAATTCGCCGACTACTTAAAATTGGCAGTGGCTGCATTGTCATGTCAACGTCCGGCTCTAAGATTGTGATATACACAAATGCAGTGTCATATCCTAGTCTCATAATTTGATATATCTACATAATTCACAGAAACCCAATATTTAGATGCCAGAAGTTAACTTCAAATATTGTTAATCACCCTATATACAATACCAATCAATGACGTTTATGTCACAGGTTTGAAGAAAGTAGTAATTCCCGTCTGTTGTTTTGGATAATGGTGGCAACTGCCTTAGATCGCTAAATTAAATAATTATGTAATTACCAAAGCAAAGTTTATAATATTTGATTAAACTAAAGGCGCATAATAAAATTTTCATAACGTTAGGTAGAGCACCATAGCAATCTCATTTATTATCAATTTATAGTTCTCTTTGTAGTTTTCTTTTAAAGCGTTCACATATAACAGATCAAAGACTTTATGATCGGGCCTTTTTTTTTGGTAGTGTAAAGCTCGAATGAAGAGTACTTCCACCTATCAAGCGTGCTGCTACCAGCCTAGTAGGTATTGCAAATAGTGCAATCATGGCAATTATTTTCCAATTTTTTTTGTAAGTATAATAAAACTACCGAATAACTTATCACTGTTAAGCACAAATGCTAAGTAAATTTTACAAATATAATCAAATAAACCTATTTCTTACTTTATTTTTAAATCTTTTTCATCAATTAAATACTCTTATCCTAACTATCTATACTGATATTATAAAGAGGCAAAATTTGTATGTTTGTAACAAATAATCTGTCAAACTACTGAACCGGTTTCAAATATTAATTCATCATAAGGTACCTACATACATTATTTATTATTACATTTTTCTTTATTTAAATACATTTTGTCCGAGTGACATAGGCTATATTTTATCCTGATAAAATAAATTCCGCCCGTACAATGCCCGGTCACTAGTAAGTATAATATAATATTAAAGATGCGAAATTGAGTTTGTTTGTTGCGCTTTTGTGCCCTAATAGCTAAATCGATTATAATGAATTCCCCTATAGAAGTAGATGGGACCTTGGTTCTTGGTTCGTATCGCAATACTTATAGGCGTAGGGTGATAAAAGGGGTAATTTACCTATAAAAATCTATATTATTTACTTCCAATTTTGCAGAATTATCGTTTATAATTACAAAACCAATATTATTGCGAGATGATACCTACTAGCGAAAAATGGGTTATTTGTCATTATATTAAGTAAACCTTTTTTGTAATATTCAGTAATATCGTTAAAAAAAAATAAAACAGTATAATTCTTAGTTTTTCATTAAAATTCAATAATCATAAATACCTATTATGATAATTTATTTTTCATCATTTAATAAGAAGGAACTGTATCACAGTTTTATTGTAAGTACTTCGTATAGGATCAGATACTGCGAGTAGCCCATTTTTTTCTTTTTCGCCTAGGTTTTATCCACGTTTATAAATACCTTAATTAAATTTCTTCTCTTAGTAATCCCGCATGCTACTCCTACATAGTACATCGCGCTATCACTTTGTCATCGTTGTATCTTTTTAAATATTTGTCGAAATGACATAGTGTAAAAGGCAAAGTTTATCGTCTTTAAATACCAAAAGCGACAAAAGTATTTGTTTTGATAAAAAATAATTTGTTAATACAAAATGTGCATTTTGGAAATAGATATCAAATAATATTTTAGTTTTGATTCACTATTTTAGCGGTAATGGCTTACACATTAAAAATAGATATATGGTGTCACGGACTATTTTTTAGAACTATTTAAGAGATACATTTTCACTCTACATTACATTCATGTAACTTTTATTGTTTTTGCAGTGCAGGCCAAAATGGCTCGCAGATGGGAGATTTTTTTTCCGTCTTATGTGACATTTATTGTTATATTTTGGTCAATTCACTCAATAACTACATTAATTATTATATATATGTTATTATCATATACGAGCTATATTACTGTTAAGTTTCATTAAAATCCATTCAGTATTTTTTAAGTGAAAGAGTAACAAAGATCCATACAAACCGTAAGATTGAAATTAAAAGCGCAAGTGGTTAATAAACAACTTTAAAGCGTTGTAGATCCTAAACAATCATATAAAATGAAAAATGGTGTTAGGAACCTAAATATGATTTTTGATTATCTAGACAGTGATACCCCACTCGACATATTTTGTCAACTTATTTTTTTTACTTCGTCACAATAGTGCGCCTAATTTTGCCCATATTGAATTTTGATTACTATCATATCTTTAGTAGCACTCCCATGATTGAGACGAATCGATTGATGTATGAATCATCAAAATCGGTCCAGGCGTTTGGTCTCTAGTGTGCCACAAAGGAACAAACATACATATATAGACTGTTAAACACATAACCCTGTCTGCGCGTCGCGCTTCGCGCTCTTGCATTGCGCAGCCGGGTAAAAAAAGAGTTCAATTGAGTATCTTTTATCTTGAGAAACAGAACTAATTTAATCAAAATCGGTTAATTTTTGATCAATATTGTTATTCTTTTTATTCTGATTGAAATCATATGAGATTGATATCATACCATCGACTGCTAGTATTTCATTTTATCCAGTGTTTTTATTTTTCCATAGATAATGTAGAACACTCCTGTCATTCTATTAATGTTATCACAATTCATTTAAAACTCAAGTGGCTTTGTGAAGTGGACCTCTTCACATAAGTGGTACTACATTACCTGGCGGTGAATTTACTAAGGTAAAAGTCTGCTCAAGTGCGAGTTGGTCACGTGCACGAATGAATCTGTACAAGCTTTGACATCAAAAGAAACTGTAAATACCCTTTATTTTCGGGTACATAATAGACATTATTAAATATTTCCTGAAAATTTATCAAAGTGGTGATTACTAGTATTTGGACTTCTTCTAAGATTAGTTCGACTGTATGTTATAGTTTATACTGTATAATGAGTAATTATTGATTATACCGACAATCAGTGAATCCTTTTTTTATAATTTTCATAATTATTCATAGTTTTGAGTTACCGTTTACTGCTTGGGTTGGCATGGCACCAACACCGACACATAAGTTAAGAATATTTTTTTTACTTTTTTGTGGTACTGTTTTTATAAAGTCGGTTTTTATATTTATCAAAAAAGTTTTTTCTAGCTTTACCCTACTCAGTGGTAGACAGGCATTATATTCCATTCGTTTTTCCTAGCTCCATTATTATTTTGCGAACCTAAATACGCACATAATTTGTCGTCTATTTTCATAATGGGTAGCAACAGCAGACTCCCATCACGTCATGCATGCTGTTGTAGGTAAGTACTTATCACTGGGCCCATAATTTTATCAAATTATCATATCCTTGTAAGTCTAGCAATATCTTGGCAGAATAATCACTTAGGTACGTTAGGAAGGCGGAAAGAATTGAACAAGATTAATCTTGTTAAGTGATCGTGGTATAATACAATTAGATTTTAATGTCAATGAAAACAAATGTGTAGCCGAGGGAAGCATTCTAAATGGCGAATGGTCATTAAGATCTGTACTGAAACACTACACATATACAAGTTGCCGTGAAAACGAACAAGATTTGCTCCCTAATAAACTTTGGAACTTTGGGTTAAATTACTATTCTACGTGAAGGTTTTTATGTTAATGTTACTTAACGGATTTGTGTGGATGGTGCTAACTTAATCG